TCGGCAATTTCACCTGCCTTGAAAGGTGCTGTTAGAGTGCAGCAATATTCCAGCCTAGATAGAACAAGTGACCTGAAGAGTGTCATCATGGGCTTGGCCATGAATTTATATATAATCATTTTTTAATATACCGTCCACAAATTTATATATTTACCAGAATTCCTGGTGATGTATAATTCATTTAATTAATAGGTCCAGAGCAACTTGTGGATATGACAGTTAAATAACAAAAAGGCACAATACCGTGACTGGAACGATACACAAATAACCCGCACATAAAAGACAGAAGCTTACGACGACGTTTCGGTCCGACTTGGACCATTGACAAAGTCACACTGGATATGACAGTGGTAGGTATCGAAGGGGGACATTTTTGCGACCTAGGTGTCCCAAATTCCTACTTGTCTAACTGATAAATAATAATTATCTATGCTCATTTATTGTTATGTACATAATTATACATACAGATAAATGCAATTTTCCACACTGGTACTACAGAGTAGTGTTCACTTTCCCTAGTACCATACTGGAACTACAGAGTAGTGTTCACTTCCCCTAGTACCATACTGGTACTACATAGTAGTGTTATTAAGTAAGTAGGTAAGTAAGTAAGTTTATTCAGGTATACACAAATACAGTTACATAGATTATCATACATAGCAGCATATGTGTAGAGAACCTGGGATAACCCAAAAAAGCCAGAGTGACTTATTTCCATTTGGGTCCTTTTACCTTATTATTTTAATATAAAGGTTATAATATTTTCATATTATTCTATAATGAAGATAACATTTTATTATTATACTAAAAAGACTATCTACTATACGAGGGTCATTAAGACTATCTACAATACGAGGGTCATTACTAGGAATAAGGTAAAATTATACGTGTGTTAGCTAAAAAATAAAAAATCATTCCCCTCCATTTCTGTAGCTACATTCATCAGACACCTTTTGGCACTCTTCTTGAACTGGTTCATGTTATGACTGGCTTTGACATGTGCGGGCAGTCTGTTCCATTCCTTTATTGCTGTACAATAAAAGGTGTTTGAAGCCTGGCCAATGACTGTGGGTACTACAAAGTTGTGCTCTCTCCCCCTAGTACTATGATTGCTGCGGTTCCCAACCTTGACAAAATTGACAGCAAGATATTCTGGACACTGTTTGTGAGCAACTTTATAAACATAATTTAGCTTCAGTTGTTTTACTCTGTCTTCAACATTCAGCATATCCAACTGCTGTAATTCATTCTGGCCTACATGCTCTCTTGGACCCAGGCCCAGGATGAATCTTACAATTTTGTTCTGGGTGATTTGCAGTCTTTCTTTTTTTTTTGTCAAGGCAGAGTACCATGAAGAGCAAGCGTAATCCATATGACACTGCATAAGGGCTAGACATAGGGTCCTGCGAGCCTCAGTAGATAGACACTGTGCTTGTCTATAGAGGAACTTCAGTGTGGCATTCGCTTTCTTTACTACACTGTTCCCTCTCAATTCTCCTGACATGCATGGGTCAAAGGGGATTCCCAGATATTTTACTGATGAAACCAAAGTGATGGGCTCCCCATTACACTGGACATTAAAATTTTTTACCCTTCTCAGTTTATGTTTCGTGCCAAAGAGAATGACTTCAGTTTCCCGAGGTGTAATGATAGTCTGTTGTCTACTAACCATTTGCTGCAGGACTCCAGTTCCAGTGTTAATACATTAGCTATATCTTGTGGGTCTTTACCTGACACTAACAGAGCACTGTCATCTGCATACAGTAGGAGTTTGCACTTGACACTGATAGGCATGTCATTGACATAGCATAAGAATAATAAGGGACCCAGAATACTACCTTACCATACTGGTACTACATAGTAGTGTTCACTTCCCCTAGTACCATACTGGTACTACATAATAGTGTTCGCTTCCCCTATACCATACTGGTACTACACAGTAGTGTTCACTTCCCCCAGTACCATAATGGTACTACATACTAGTGTTCACCTCCCTTAGTACCATACTGGTACTACATAGTAGTGTTCACTTCCCCTAGTACCATACTAGTACTACATAGTAGTGTTCACTTCCCCTAGTACCCTACTGGTACTACATAGTAGTGTTCACTTCCCCTAGTACCATACTGGTACTACATACTAGTGTTCACTTCCCCTAGTACCATACTGGTACTACATAGTAGTGTTCACTTCCCTTAGTACCATACTGGTACTACATAGTAGTGTTCACTTCCCCTAGTACCATACTGGTACTACATAGTAGTGTTCACTTCCCCTAGTACCATACTGGTACTACATAGTAGTGTTCACTTCCCCTAGTGCCATATTGGTACTACATAGTGTTCACCTACCCTAGTACCATACTGGTTTTGGTTCCTAACCTTGACAATTTGGCAGCAAGATATTCTGGACACTATTTGTGAATAATTTTATAGTAACAGCCTGGTTGATCAGACCCTGATCCACCATGAGGCCTGATCTCAGACCGAGCTGCGGGGGCGCTGACCCCCAACACTCTCTCCAGGTAAACTCCAGGTAATTTCTACCAGTACATGTACAAGGTATACAGACCATAGCTGACATCAGTGACATACTACTATATACAAAGCTGCTTGTTATGCTGAGCATTTACCGCAAATTAGGTCAGTTTTGGCCCAGGATGCGACCCACACCAGTCTACTAACACCCAGGTACCCATTTTACTGATGGTGGACATAGACAACGAGTGAAAAGAAACATGCCCACTTCCTAGGAATCGAACTCGGCCCATCGCCGTGTGAAGCGAGAGCTTTAGCCACCAGGCCACGGGGAACGTAAGAAAGCCCCTTCTTTTGCAGAGCATTTCGGGAAAATTAAGTAAATTTTGTCCCGGGATGCTACCCAAACCAGTCAACTAACACCCAGGTACCAATTTTATACTGGTGGGTGAACATGGGCAGCAGGTATTTTGTGGAAATACGTCCTAAAGTTTTCCAGTCGTACCGGGGATTCGAACTCCGGACCTCATTGTAAGTAATAGGTTTGCCGGTCTTGTCCCAGCCCGGGTCTTTTCCAGATGGTGACCCGGCACAGTGTGTGAGTGGGCTAGCGATCCAGCTACGGGACACCAATAGTAGTATTTATTTATTAACACATCGGCCGATTCCCACCAAGACAGGGTGGCCCGAAAAAAGAAAAACTTTCATCATCATTCACTCCATCACTGTCTTGCCAAAGGGGTGCTTTACACTACAGTTATAAAACTGGAACATTAACACTCCACTACTACAATAGTAATAGTGGTAGTAATAATATTAATATTATTAGTAGAAGTATTGTCTTTGTTCTTGAGGTTTTATGGGGCACTGACAGCACCTAAAGTCAGTACCTGACCAGCCGGGCTGTGGTTCGTATGTCGGGTTGCGTGCGGCCAACAGTAACAGCCTGGTTGATCAGACCCTGATCCCCCATGAGGCCTGGTCACAGACCGGGCCGCGGGGGCGTTGACCCCCGAAACCCTCTCCGGGCATACGCCGTATCGAGCGTAAACTAAAGCTCTTGCCGTATCGAGCGTGGCTAAAGCTCTTGCTTCACACGGCGAGCGTCCGGGTTCGATTCCCAGCGAGGGTAGAAACATCGGGCATGCTTCGTTACACCAGTTCAATTCAATTCAATTCAATTCAAAGTTTATTCTCTATAAGGATTACAATGCTGAGTTTACAGAATTTGGTTATTGTGTGGTTTACATGTAGTAAAATAATTACAGAGTGTACCACTAGAACACCTAGCATGGCTAGGCATTTCGGGCAGACTTAGATTAAATCTTAAGTTTAAAATATTACAAAATTATGAGGTAAGTTGGTATTATGGCTATGCGACTAAATACTAGTTCGTGAGTTTAGCAATGTGAATGCTTTTGTTTTGGCACTATACATAGTTTCAATATTGGAGTATCACAGGCCAACTTATGACTAGTTAAGATTCATTATTTTGAGATTGGGATTGATATTTCTGTTTATGGTCAAATGGGTGAGTGAGTGTAAGTGTTAACCACCAGGTGGTAGTCGTGTAATTAGTTGACAGGGTGTATCAGGGAGATAAGATGTTTTCTGATGGTAGTTTTGAAGGTGATGAATGTGTCTGCAGTTTTAGAATTTTCAGGTAGGGTGTTCCAGATTTTAGGGCCTTTGACATACATTGAATTTTTGTAAAGGTTTAGTCGGACACGGGGAATGTCATAGAGATGTTTGTGTCTGGTGTTGTGCCTGTGGGTTTGTCACAACTATCAAGAAAGCGTTTTAGGTCAAGGTTAATTATGGAATTTAAGGTCATGTAGATGTAGATTGCACAGTAGTAAGTGTGGATGAACAGGGAGTAAGTTTAGATCTATGAAGAGTGGGGGAGTGTATTGCCAGGGATGGGATTTAGTGATTATTCTTACTGCGGCTTTTTGTTGGGTTATTATTGGCTTTAGGTGTGTTGCTGCAGTTGAACCCCAAGCACAGATAGCATAGGTGAGTCTAGGTTGTCTGTGTTCTCCATCAGTAAAATGGGTACCTGGGTGTTAGTGGACTGGTGTGGGTCGCATCCTGGGACAAAACTGACCTAATTTGCCCGAAATGCTCAGCATAACAAGCGGCTTTCTATATATTAGTATGTCATTGATGTCAGGTGTAGTCTGTATACCTTGTACATATACTTGCAGAAATAAAGATATTATTATTATTATTATTATTATTATTATTATTATTATTATATTATTATTATTATTATTATTATTATTATTATTATTATTATTATATTATTATTATTATTATTATTATTATTATTAAGGCGTAAGTCGCTGTTCAACTGTTTTTCCATAATTCTCTCACTCAGAAAAGAAATTTAAGATATTTTAACTATTGTGCTAAATTACACAGCAGAACACGGTAAGGAAGCTTACACAATTTATAAATATCAGGGAGTCGGATTTTACGTAAATAATGGTTGCATGTTTTATGGTTTTTGAATTATGGACATTTCAAGAAAATTTTAGCAAAGATTATTGGAACAATATTTAGCCATGTTGTTTTGATTGTATACCCGGCGTCACCTTAATACATTGTTCTCTCATTATTGAGTGTTATTGCTGGTTGTAAGTTTTATTATGATGCTTGTAGTGTGTTAACATTAACAGTGTTGTGTGTGATAAGGTTACATTGTAGGAGAGAAGGAGAGAGCAACAGCAGCAGCGAATAACAACTGTGTGAACTGACAACAGTTTATACTTCAAACTTAATTTTATTGTCTTTGTTAACTTATTACCTTTGGTTAATGTCCTGGGTAGTTATCGTAGGCTAATATTTTCCAAGGTTATCCTAGGTTATTATTCTAGGTTAAATATTTACCCTGTACGTTATTATCCAGGGCTATTCTAGGTTAAATATTGTCCTAGGCTATTTAGGAAAAATATTTACCTTATCCTAGGTTAAATATTATCCAAGGTTATCCTAGGTTATTTTAGTTTAAATATTTACCTTATCCTTCGTTATTATTCTAGGTTATTTTAGGCTAAATATTTACCTAGGTTATTAATCTTGGTTAAATATTATGCTAGGTCATTTTCCTAGGTTAAATATCCTAGGTTATCATCCTAGGTTATTATCCTAGGTTAAATATCCTAAGTTATTATACTAGGGTAAATGGGCATTGTACATTAATTGATATTTTTTTTCGAAGATCAAAATAAATTTTTTATGAGAGCCACAGAATTTGGTTAACACAAGCCTATCTGATGTTATCCTGATGCCAAATGACCTTCGAACAGGCGATAAATGACATGCCCATGCACTCTGCCCCAGGGCCAGACTCGTGGAACTCCGTGTTCATCAAGAACTGCAAGAAGCCCCTATCACGAGCCTTTACCATCCTATGGAGAGGGAGCATGGACACGGGGGTCGTCCCACAGTTACTAAAAACAACAGACATAGCCCCACTCCACAAAGGGGGCAGTAAAGCAACAGCAAAGAACTACAGACCGATAGCACTAACATCCCATATCATAAAAATCTTTGAAAGGGTCCTAAGAAGCAAGATCACCACCCATCTAGAAACCCATCAGTTACACAACCCAGGGCAACATGGGTTTAGAACAGGTCGCTCCTGTCTGTCTCAACTATTGGATCACTACGACAAGGTCCTAGATGCACTAGAAGACAAAAAGAAGGCAGATGTAATATATACAGACTTTGCAAAAGCCTTCGACAAGTGTGACCATGGCGTAATAGCGCACAAAATGCGTGCTAAAGGAATAACAGGAAAAGTCGGTCGATGGATCTATAATTTCCTCACTAACAGAACACAGAGAGTAGTCGTCAACAGAGTAAAGTCCGAGGCAGGTACGGTGAAAAGCTCTGTTCCACAAGGCACAGTACTCGCTCCCATCTTGTTCCTCATCCTCATATCCGACATAGACAAGGATGTCAGCCACAGCACCGTGTCTTCCTTTGCAGATGACACCCGAATCTGCATGACAGTGTCTTCCATTGCAGACACTGCAAGGCTCCAGGCGGACATCAACCAAATCTTTCAGTGGGCTGCAGAAAACAATATGAAGTTCAATGATGAGAAATTTCAATTACTCAGATATGGTAAACATGAGGAAATTAAATCTTCATCAGAGTACAAAACAAATTCTGGCCACAAAATAGAGCGAAACACCAACGTCAAAGCCCTGGGAGTGATCATGTCGGAGGATCTCACCTTCAAGGACCATAACATTGTATCAATCGCATCTGCTAGAAAAATGACAGGATGGATAATGAGAACCTTCAAAACTAGGGAGGCCAAGCCCATGATGACACTCTTCAGGTCACTTGTTCTATCTATGCTGGAATATTGCTGCACACTAACAGCACCTTTCAAGGCAGGTGAAATTGCTGACCTAGAAAATGTACAGAGAACCTTCATGGCACGCATAACGGAGATAAAACACCTCAATTACTGGGAGCGCTTGAGGTTCCTAAACCTGTATTCCCTGGAACGCAGGCGGGAGAGATACATGATTATATACACCTGGAAAATCCTAGAGGGACTAGTACCGAACTTGCACACGAAAATCACTCACTATGAAAGCAAAAGACTTGGCAGACGATGCAACATCCCCCCAATGAAAAGCAGGGGTGTCACTAGTACGTTAAGAGACCATACAATAAGTGTCAGGGGCCCGAGACTGTTCAACTGCCTCCCAGCATACATAAGGGGGATTACCAACAGACCCCTGGCAGTCTTCAAGCTGGCACTGGACAAGCACCTAAAGTCGGTTCCTGACCAGCTGGGCTGTGGCTCGTACGTTGGATTGTGTGCAGCCAGCAGTAACAGCCTGGTTGATCAGGCTCTGATCCACCATGAGGCCTGGTCACAGACCGGGCCGCGGGGGCGTTGACCCCCGGAACTCTCTCCAGGTATACACTTGCATTTTAAAATAAAATAAAAATAAAATATTTATTTCTTTGCTAAGGTTACACTGTGTGTTCACATATAGTATGACTGGAGCAAAGAAAACCACTATCATGCCCAGGCATTTTGGCCAGACTTATAGACTACTTAAGTCTAGACAGGTGAAGAGTGGTAGAATACAAACAGTCAATATTCACTCTATTGTTAATATGAGGTAGTACAATTTATGACAGTCTTACATTTTTAAGTACGAAATTAAGTTCTTTTACAATGGTAGAATACAAATATTCTATATTTCACTCTTTTTATTAATACGTATGAGGTAGTAATTTATGATACAATCAATTTATGATTCAATAATCATACATTTTTAAGTTTGTAATTAAGTTCATTTACTTTATTATTAATATGACGTAGTACAATTAGTGATACAAAGATCCATTTATAAGTTTGTAAAAATGGCTTAATAGTTAAGGGATAATAAAGTATTTGGGGGAGTTGCTGTGAATTTGGTTGGTGTTTAGCATTGTGTGGGTAAGTTTGTTATTGAGAGATGAAATGATTTTTGAGTATGGTCCTAAACTAATTTGTGTGCAGGGAACCTCTTGCTGCTTCAGGCAAAGTGTTCCAGATCTTAGGACCCTTCATGTGCGTTGCATTTTTGCAAAGTGTGAGACAGACACGAGGATGTCAAAAAGTGTTTTGTGCCTTGTGTTATGCCTGTGTTTTCTGTTGAAGCTGTCTAGGAGAAGTTTGAGTGGAAGGTTGATATTGGTGTTTAATGTTTTGTATATGTAGAAGGCACAGTAATAAGTATATTATGTATATTAAGTAAGTTCATGTTTTTGAAGAGAGGTGGGGTGTGTTGTCTGGCACTGGAGTTTGTGATCATCCTTACTGCCGCTTTTTGTTGGGTTATTAAAGGTTTGAGGTGATTGGCCATGGTAGATCCCCAAGCACAAATACCATAGGTGAGGTAAAGGTATATTAGAGAGTGATATAAGGTAAGGAGGGCCCATTGGGGTACATAGTATCATATCTTGGAAATGATACCTACTGTTTTGGTAACTTTCTTAGTTATATGCTGGATGTGGGTCTGAAATTTAAGATTACACTCAAGGTGGAGACTAGAAATTTGCCCGCAGTGTGCCTTGTAATGGGTGAACCATTTATTGATATGTTTAGCTGGATATTTGATGCTCTGTTTCAAAAAAACATGAAGTAGGTTTTGTCTATATTGAGGGTAAGTTTGTTGGTAGTCATCCAGTTTGATTTTTGGAAATAAGTCACTTTGAATTTTTGTGTCATCCTGGAGGATAATTTACACTTAGTTACTATGTATGGTAATTGTACTTATGTATACCTGTACTATAACTGTACTTATGTGTATCTGTATGATAATTGTACTTATGTGTACCTGTATGATAATTGTACCTATGTATACCTGTATTATAACTGTACTTATGTGTACCGGTATGAAAATTTTACTTACGTGTACCTGTATGATAACTGTACTACGTGTACCTGTATGATATTGCACTTGTGTACCTGTATGATAATTGTATTTATGTGTGCTGGTATGATAATTGCACTTGTGTTCTTGCATGATAATTGTATACTTATATATACCTGTATAATTGTGCTTGTGTACCTGTATGATAATTGAACTTATGTACCTGTATGATAATTGAACTTGTGTACCTGTATGATAATTGAACTTGTGTACCTGTATGATAATTGCACTTGTGTACCTGTATGGTAATTGTACTTAGGTGTATCTGTATGATAGTTGTACTTATATGTACCTGTATCATAATTGTATTTGTATGCTTGCATGATATTTGGAGTCACCTAAATTTGTGTAACTGTACTTATGTACCTAAGTAAACCTACTAACTCTTCTGTGAGGTAATTTTAAGGTATATTTTATTTACCTTAATGCCATCTAGGTATATATTAGGGTTAATACTGTTATGTATAGTATTGTATCTATTTAAGAATGGTTATGTATCTTTCTGTAATTTTCATCAGTCTTGGGATTATGTGCTATTTTCAGTCTGAGTTATTATTTCTGTACTAACCAATTTATAATATATTAAAAATGGCTCCATTTCCAAATTTTTTCACAACTGTAATTTTTTTCACTCTCCATTCCTCCACACCTATACATTCATTTTTATCTTGCTTTCTTGTGCTAAATGTACTTAGTGTACAGTACTGTATATCAATATGGAACTACAAATATATAGATAGCATCATGCAACCAGATTATCTTGTATTTTAAGGTGCTGACTAGAGATGGTAATGACTCGAGGGCGTGGACGAGGAATGAGAGGTGGCATGATGCGTCCCATGGGGCCAGGTCCGCATTTTGGGCCAAAAATGAAACAGTTTGTCCCACGTCTTCCTTTTGACATGGTTCTTTGTGAATCTGCATTTCCCAGGGTCAAGCCAGCACCAGATGAGTCAGCATTTACTCAGGTGGGTTGAAATATTTTGCAGAAATTCCAAGGCTGGCAAACAGCAACCACACAGGAAGGCACAGTACAGTACTGTATCATCGTATTTTCACATAAGTGTGAAACTGAAAACTGTTAAATGTTTTGCACTGCACTATTGCTGGCATATCCTTTAAATTAAAGCACAGTGCAGTTCCTGCACTTTGAAAGTGAATATGAATGTTTCATGTGAACCTTGGACCATGATATCTATGCCCTTGGATGAGGAGCATGTGATGGCTGCCAACTTCTTTGTTGGCTGCTTGCTCAGCATTGGTGGATATGACAATTGAATACTGGTGAATAACATTTGTATGTACAGTATTATTATTAAAAAAAATTAGCCAGCCTTTTTTCCCACCAGACAAGGGTGACCCAAAGAAGGAATAATATTCACCATGACACATTCTTTAACCCTTTTCAGAACTGCAGGGAAATGAAACCATGAATGACCAAGGAAACTGCAGCATCCCCACCTTTACTTCAGTAACTACAACATTCCCATCCATATTTCGGTAGTTGCAACATTCTCATTCATACTTCAATAGCTGCAGCATTCCCACCCATACTTCAGTAGCTGCAACATTCCCACCCATACTTAAGCATACTGTTTGGAAAATGTGAATCAAGTGTCACAAGAGCCTTTTTTTTTTTTTTTTTTTTTTTTAAATCAATCTGGGGCTTAAACCTTTTCATTACTTGGCCAGAAACTTTACACATGATGAGGAGCCTTGTGCAAGGAATATACTACACATTCTTCACTTTACGTAAAGGAATGTACCCAGTGCCTTTGAGTTTGCAGAAACCTGCTTCTCCTTATTGCCAGCAGAAAAGTTGGTCAGGAATTGTGGCATCTCAAAGCATTCATGAATAATTATCCATAATCAGCTTTGTTTATATTCATCCCAGAAAAGATTTCAAATGAAAACTGTGTAGTGTTATTAAAGATCCTAATATGTTTAGTATTTTATTGCACTTGAAGTTTCTCTTAAGTTCAGGAAATCTGGTAAGCCGAACTTGAAACAAACCACGGAACAGGTTGGGTTAAAACCCATTGCGAGCGAGTCCTGAACCCGAAGATCGGAAGTAGTGTCCACTAAAGAGTGGGTGAAGGATGTTGCACTTTACAGTAGCATTACAACTGTGTTGTCTGCACACTTATGGAGAGAGTGGTGAATATTTAGTTCTTTGAGTAACCTGCTTTGGTGAGAAATGCTAATGTTTTAAATAAAAAAAATTCTCCACTGATAATCTAAAGGGATCAGTTTGTGATGGTTCTTTCCTCATTTATGTGATAGTTCTTTCTTTATTTACTCACTGTAGTACTGTACTGTACAAAAATTTTCTCGAGGATGATTGATGGAAGTGGATGGTATGGTGATAACAGCTAAATGTGGAAAAAAAAGACACTTAGTTACAGGAAATGTTTTGCCACGAGTGACTTCTTAAGGCAGAGACAACTAAAAATGGAGTGAATGTAGTGGCAAGACTCCGGCGATATACAATGAGATAGTAGTATGAGTAGTAGCAGTAGTGTAGATAAATGGTTCAGAGGACTGACAGGTTGATGAATTAGACACGTGTATCTTTATTGTTAAATGTTTTGCCACACAGTGGCTTCACCATCATTCTTCATATTGGACTGAAGATGCCACTGTGTGGCAAAGCATAGCCAGATGTTGCACATGTGTCTTATTTATCAGTTGCAGTAGTACAGCAGTTAGTGAGAATAATTAGGTTTTGATAAGGACTTGCCTGCATGGGCTAGTAGGCCTACTGTGGTGCTCCTCAATACATAATTCTGAAGTGGGTATCATGTGACATCTGTCTCCAGACTGGGTAATGTCCTGTTGGCCAAGAGTTTGGATATGCAGAAACTGTCGCTGTTGAGGGTTTGTTACTGACCGCAGTTAAGGCATCCTCTATACACATTGATCTGTGTAATTTTCTTTGAATGACTAAAGTGTCTTCATCCATGTTGGATATGGATGTTTTTATGTACGTCAGGGCAGCAGGCATTCTTGTGTTCTTGGATCCTTATCTCTGTGGATCTTGCTGTTTTCCCATATATATTTCTTGTCTCACTCCTCTCCCAAGTGGTATTATGCATACTCCTGCGATAATGAGTTGCTCTTGTGTTTCAGCACTAAATTATTAAAGGAAGTCGAAGAGTTGGTGGCTATTTTAACAAATTGTTGTTAAGTGGTTTGGACACATTAGTTGCCATTATTGGGAAGGCTCTCCTTCCATCCTTCAACTGGGATGATATTGGTTTTGTTGGAGAGATGTGTGTTGCATACTTCCTGCAATTCTGTATGAAGTGTATGGGGAAGCGTAGCAACCTGAATGAACGTGTGATGTATGTGGACTTTTTCCTGATGACTGTGGGCTCTTAAATTGTTAACTTTGAGGACAATATCTATAGCTACTCTTGTAGTCCTGTTGTTATAGTGATAGAAGAAATGCAGCAAATCATTCTTGTAGGTTAGTTTGTGATAAACTGTTGTAATGTGAGCAGTGTAAGATTTATGATAGTTTTTGGGGAAGTTGGATAGCTGAACTCGAGTCCTGGAGGCAGGAAGTACCATATAGTGCCTGGACTCTGCAGGATGGGTGGAGATGTAGTGGGGAGGGTCATTTGAAGAGTTTCTGCATACTTCTGGTAAGACTGCTATTGAATAAACAGTGGTGACTATGTTTCTTTCTTTGGAGTTGTTATCTTGTTAAGAAATTGCCAACATAATAATAAATATTACTTTTATAAGAGTGGCCTCAACTTTGATTATTGGTTTATAGGTGACCCCTCTCTGCACCATTCAACGTAACCATTGCCTACTAAGTCTCTTATCCCCACGTGTTGCAAATTCTTCTGTCCATTTGCAGGCTCTTTTAAAGAGAAATGCTGATCTTTCTCCTACACCAGCTGAGCAGGCAGCTGTATTGAACCTAGTCACAAAAATACAAGCTGTGATGGACAATTTAATAGTTGACCCGGGCAACTTTGACGCATGCGTAAGTTCCGTAAGTTCGTTGCACGCCAATTGCCTGTTGGGTGGGTGATTTTCCTTGTATGTTAAGTTTTATTTTTATTTATTTTTTTTTAAGTGGTACACAGCTTTACAGAAGGTAACTTATTCATTGAAGATACAATATTGTAAATTGACATTTCCAGTAAGTATAAATTTTTCTTTTGGATATACTGTAAATTAATGTTATATTTAAACTAACTGCCTAAACTACATTAGGTACAGCATCAGTAACACTTACATTTTGCTCATTGCCCACTGCAGCAGATTGAAGAGGTTCGTCAAGTAGGCTCCTATAAAAAAGGAACAATGATGACGGGGCACAATGTTGCTGATATTGTAGTTATTCTAAAGACGTTGCCTACAAAGGAAGCAGTGGAAGCACTTGGAAAGAAGGTCTGCGATGATCTGCGTTCACAGGAACCCCAGGAAGGTTTGCTAATATGTTTTGAGGCATATGTAACAAGTTCCCTCTTGATAGGGATTTATTGGTAACTCCTTGAATATGCAGGGGTACAGGTAGGATCTCCAGGATGGGTCTGGTTTGAGTCTTCTCCATGTGGTGACCTGGCAGTGTAAGCAGGGAAGTTATTGATAAACTTCGACTTCTCTATTTTTATTAATTTGTTCTCTTAATATACTTATTGTACCTACATACTTCTTATTGGAGCTGTTTGTGCATTCTGCCTCAGAAAAGATACATTAACAGTGATGTTCTGGATGCTTTAATAATGAAAGTTGTCAAGACAATGGGTGGGTCACCTTACTGTGGGAGGTTGAGAGGCTTCAATACTTGACTAAGAATCCAGTAGCTTAATGCTAGGTCACCTTAATTTTCTTCACTGATTTCAATAACCTTAGTGCCCGACTAATACCCAACAGTTATTTTTCAGCCTAAATTGAGGGTAGATTTCCTTTTCATCAGGATTTGTTGAGGCTTATAATCTGATTAAGAATGAATTATGGATATGGTCTAGACTTACCTTTGATATACCTTTGATGAGTTCCAAGAGTCTTTTTACTCACGGAGCCCAGCCATGGGCCAGGCTCATCTGGTGCTTGCCTGGTCAACCAGGCTGTTATTGATGGTTGCCTGCTTATTAATAGAATTTGATTTGATTATACAGTGAACTTCCAAGTTTCAGTGGCATCATGTTTCGTGAATTTCGCCTTTCAGCACATTCTTTTTGGCAAAAAAAAAAAAAAAGACTCGTGGTTCATGATTTATTCGCGATTTGGCGGCAGTAAGGTACGCTTCTGGCCCTTCTCCCAGCGTCAGCCCCCAAACAAAGCCAGCCTCCCTCCCACACCACAGTCAGTGTGGCATTGTTTATGGTTTAGTTTAATACCTTTATTATGCACCCCATACCCATCCTGTGGGCGGTAGTCAAAAGATTACAGAAGTACATAATTGATCCAGGGACTAGACTCCAAAGTTCTGATAACTGAACAAGTTATAAAAGTAATGAACTAGATCTGGTCACAATCATGACAAGTTACAAAGGTAATGAGCTCCAGGTAGAGCTGGTCACAATCACGACACGTTACAAAGGTAATGAATCATAATCATGTCCATACATGGTTACAGTTATGAACAAATTACAGAGTAATGAGCAATTAACAAACATTCTAGGGGGTGTATCCATTGCTCCAACAAATGTTGCTAGGTGCCTATCCCTCCTCGGTAAGACAGCCAGACAGCCATTGCAAACAGAAGCAGGTTGAGCCAGGATCTGCTGCTTGCAGGAGCACAATCAACCCTCCCCAAGAGGTCCAAGAGGTCAGCGACTCGGCTAGCAGCCAAGGGAGAGCTGCCCTGGGGATGTGTCAACGTTCTGGTAGACGTCAATTTGATTGCAGATCCCAGGTGCTCTGTAAAGGTGAAGGCACAGCAGCTGTCACCTCTGTCTGGAGCCTTCCAGGTGTCCAGACATCCACCGTGTGCATGGATGTTGAAGCTTGAGGAACTGAGTGCACACTGCCTGTGGCACACCCGACAGCTGCCTCATGGTCAAACTCCACGGCACTGGCCCTGCAGTGGAAGTTCCTGTGAGCCCAGCACACCCTGTGCCATCGCTGACATTGTGGGCTGGGAGGGGAAAAGTACCTTTTACAATTGGGGTGGCCCTGGGATTTGGGTGGTTGAGGCATGGGGGTGAGGGGTTATGAGAAGGTCACTGTTTACTACACACGGGGCAAACCCAGGGAGGGGGGTAAGGAGCACCTCCCTACACACTGATTGTGCACTGTTGTTCACACTCCTTCCTACAACAAACACAACATTTATTTGTTTCCCATGCACATCATGAAAGATATGGGCATGTGACTCCCCAAAACCAGCAATACCTTCATCTTCACCCCCCCCCCCCCCCGGTGGCATGGGGGAGGAGGCACTGTTTATGGGTGAGTGACCATCACCTCATGTGTTCATAAGATATATTCCATTCGTTTTTGTGCTTGCAACTGCTAAATAAGCCACTATGGGCCCAAAGAAAGCTTCTAGTACCAGTCCTTTGGTAACGGGCTGAGAGAGAGTGGAGAATGTGCCTTCTTCAGTGATTCAGTGATTCTACGATATGTTACGATACTAAAGTAGCAGGAGCTGATAAAGGCTATAGTGCCAGCCAACGATAAAGTGTAGCATTAACAGTGTAGCAAGTAAGTTAAGCCATTAATTGATAGAAAAATAACACGAAACTTAACTCCTCCATTGTTGTTTGAGGTATATAGGGCGACTGACTAGGACCGCCATCTCTGCTGCCGCCATTCACCACCACTATGTAAGGCTTATCATTCAGTGGCCCTCATACACCCAACAGCAGCACAACACGACAGCACTTGTGACCTACGTAATGACATATTTTATTCATTCTAGAGTATATGTCAAGTTTCTATGTTGTTAATATTGTTTAATATGTCATATTAGATAAATTGTGATAGATAAATAAGCCGTAGAGTTGGTATTAGTGTCATATTGAAGGACTTTCTTGTCCTGTCTCCGAAGACACACCCCTGCCACTGCCACAATTCCTAACATATGTAATGACATTTTATTCATACACCAACAATAGTCTTCAGTAAAGGTAAGTGTGATGTTGTTATTGTTTTATAGTTGATGTCTCATTGTTTCCTGTACGTACTGTAAATCTATACTTAATGTAAAAAAAAATTTTTTGTTCATACCTTTGGTCTGGAACAGATTAATTGGATTTCCATTATTTCGTATGGGGAAAATGGATTCGCCAATTGTAAATTTTGCCTTTCAGCAGACACTCTGGAATGGATTAATCATGAAACTCGGAGGTCCACTGTATTGTACGTACATACGTACGTACTAAGAATAATAATAATTATAACAATAATAATAATAATAATATAATAGTAGTAATAATAATAATGTAATTTTTAGACATTTTTCATAATTTTTTTTATATTTTTGTGCCAAATGCTTCAAAATACAAATTGGTAACCCTCTGGGTGGCTGTAGATACTACTAGACCACAGCTATCTCAGTGCCAGCCAAGAGTCAAAAGGAAGAGGTGTGCTGCTCTGAGTGACTGCAGCAGACCCTTAGGATGCGTAATTTTGTCTTGTATTGTAAAATTTTTTACACAATGCCTCGCCCAAAGAGACAGTATTCGTGTACAATCAGCAAGACGCTCAGGAAGCGATTAAAACTATGAAAAAAGCTAGAGAAACAAAGAAGGCAGCAACATAGAGTGAGGCAGCTGGCTGCCGCCGCCACCACCACCACTGTGGCCACAGTGATCATGTCTTCACCTATATATACATACATCTGTCTTGACCACACCTGTGGGTACATATGTGACAACCTCGCCACTAATCATAGATAAACACAAGCTAGGTGTGGGGTTATGGACTGGGAAGATACTAGAATGGGAGAGTAAACGGCGGATGCTTTCTGCCACTGCTGGCGTCGCCATCACTTGCTATATTATGGCCTATTTTATTCATTCTAGAGTATATATCATGGTTCTATGTTATTAATATTGTTTATTATGTCATATTTGATCAATTGTGATAGATAACTAAGCTGTAGGTTGATATTAGCATTACGTATTTTGTCATGCCTCCTGAGAGGCTGGAACAAATTAATTGCATTTCAGTTAATTTAAATGAGGAAAATGACTCAGCGTACAAGCAAATCAGGATACAAACAAGGTCACGGAACGGATTAAATTTGTAAGCCAAGGTTCCAACATACAGTGGAACCTTGGTTTTTGTATGCCCAAGTCTGTATGTAAAACTATAGTTATTCTCAATAAAATGTATTTTTTGTTAATATATTTTTGGGTGTCTGGAACGGATTAATTGGATTTACTGTACATTATTTCTTATGGAAAATATTAACAAAAATACATTTTATAGAGAATATAGCTTTACGTGCAGACTCAGACATACGAAAACTGAGGTTCCGGGGGTCAACACCCTTCCAGCCCTGTCCATGACCAGGCCTCCTGGTGGATCAGGGCCTGATCAACCAAGCTCTTACTGCTGGCCGCACATAGCCCAACATATGAACCACAGCCTGGCTGATCCGGCACCGACTCGAGTATCTGATCAGCTCCCTCTTGAAGGCAGCCAAGGGTCTGTTGGTAATATCCCTTGTGCCTGGCGGGAGGCTGTTGAACCGTTTTGGGCCCCGGACACTTATTGTGTTTTCTCTTAGTGTACCAATGGCGCCCCTACTTTTCATTGGGAGTATTTTGCACTGCCTGCCCAGTCTTTTGCTTTCACAGGGAGTGATTTCTCTGTACAGATTAGGGACCATTCCTTCTAGGATTTTCCAAGTGTGGATTATGATGCATCTCTCTTGCCTGCATTCCAGTGAGTACAATTCAAGTGCTTCCAAGTGTTTCCAGTAGTTAAGGTGTTTGATGGAACTTATATGTACAGTAAAGGTTCTCTGTACATTCTCTAGATCTGCAATTTCACCTGCTTTGAATGGAATGTTAATATTCAGCAGTATTCCAGCCTAGGGAGAACAAGCGATTTGAAAAGGATCATCATTGGCTTGGTATCTCTTGTTTTGAACATTCATTGTCCATCCTATCATTTTCTTCGTGGATGTGATAGTGGCACTGTTGTGATCTTTGAAGGTGAGATCTTCAGACATTACCACTCCCAGGTCCTTCACATTACTTTTCCACTCTATTGTATGATTAAAGTTTGTAGTATACTCAGTTCTAGTTATTAATCTCCTCCTTTTTTCCATAATGGAGTAGTTGGAATTTGTCTTCATTGAACATCATATTGTTTTCTGTTGCCCCCTTGGAAAACTTGGTTTATGTCTTATTGGCAGTTTACTGTGTCCTCAGTGGATGACAGTCTCAAGTTGATCCTAGTATCATCTGCAGAGGATGACATGGTGTTATAGTTTACATCTCTGTCTATGTCTGATATGAGGATGAGGAACAGGATGGGAGCGAGTACTGTGCCTTGTGGAACAGAGCTGTTCACTATGGCAGCTTCCGATGTAACTCTGTTTACCCCTACTGTTTCTGTTGGATTAGTTAGAGAGTTGAAGCTCCATCTGCCCACTTTGCCAATTATTCCTTTAGCATGCATTTTGTGTGCTATTACACCTTGATCGCACTTAATCAAAGGCTTTTGCAGAATCTCTGTATAGTACATCTGGATTTTGTTTGTCTTCCATTACATCCAAGACTATATTATAGTGGTCCAGTAGTTCCGAGAGGCACAAGCGACCTGCCCATGCAGATAACTAAAACTGTATTGTTTTGTTAATTGTAAAATTTAACAACTGCCTTGGGGCAGTTTTATCCTTTCTGTTGGTATTTTCATGGCTACTCCAGGCAACTTTCATTGTATGCCTTGTAATCATAATGAACCTTTAAATAATTTCATCACAATCTCAGCTTGTGGATAATCATACATGGACCTCTTAATACTTGCATCAGTCTCTGCTTATGGATATTGTGTTACGGAATCTAGAATTAAATGATATACTATCTCTTTTGTCCACTGCACAGTTGTCCTCTGAAATGGAAGCCTGTTTAATATTTAGCATTCTTGTGTAACAATAGTATAAGATGGCAGGTTAATCTTAAAAACTTCAGTATATGTACATATACTTGTACTTCCCTGTGTATTTCTTGATTATTAATGTTACATTAGGATATTTTAGTGTTAATTGATGGTATACTGTGTCGTCACAGGTGGGAGTATTGTATATTGTTGTATCCGCATCAGTAGTCAACATTTTCTGGGTTTATATATCCTCAGATTTAACTAATGATATTGTTTATCACCTACCATACATAGCATATTTGATAAATACTTAAGAGGATACATATTGGTGGAAATATTATATAGTGTATAATGGTTTCTTCGTTACAGTGCTAGTTTTAACAATGCTTCCTAATGACCGGGGCTTTGAGATCAGCAACAGTGAGGCTACAGTACGGGTCCTGGTCACTACCATTCACCAGAACTTGCGGAAATTGGATCCGGAACTGCATCTTGACCAGAAAATTCTCCAGTCACACCTTGCTGCCATCAGACACAGGTATATTACATTTTTTTTTTTTTTTAACAAGTCAGCCGTCTCCCACCCAGGCAGGGTGACCCAAAAAGAAAGAAAATCCCCAAAAAGAAAATACAGTGGACCCCCGCATAACGATTACCTCCGAATGCGACCAATTATGTAAGTGTATTTATGTAACTGCGTTTGTACGTGTATGTTTGGGGGTCTGAAATGGACTAATCTACTTCACAATATTTCTTATGGGAACAAATTCGGTCAGTACTGGCACCTGAACATACTTCTGGAGTGAAAAAATATCGTTAACTGGGGGTCCACTGTACTTCCATCATCATTCAACACTTTCACCTCACTCACACATAATCACTGTTTTTGCAGAGGTGCTCAGAACACAACAGTTTAGAAGCATATACGTATAAAGATACACAACATATCCCTCCAAACTGCTAATATCCCGAACCCCTCCTTTAGAGTGCAGGCATTGTACTTCCCATTTCCAGGACTCAAGTCCGGCTATATAAAAATAACTGGTTTCCCTGAATTCCTTCACTAAATATTACCCTGCTCACACTCCAACAGATCGTCAGGTCCCAAATACCATTCGTCTCCATTCACTCCTATCGAACACGCTCATGCACGCCTGCTGAAAGTCCAAGCCCCTCGCCCACAAAACCTCCCTTACCCCTTCCTTCCAACCTTTTCGAGGACGACCCCTACCCCGCCTTCCTTTCCCTACAGATTTATACGCTCTCCATGTCATTCTACTTTGGTCCATTCTCTCTAAATGACCAAACCACCTCAACAACCCCTCTTCTGCCCTCTGACTAATACTTTTATTAACTCCACACCTTCTCCTAATTTCCACACTCCGAATTTTCTGCATAATATTTACACCACACATTGCACTTAGCCCGGACATCTCCACTGCCTCCAACCGCCTCCTTGCTGCTGCATTCACAACCCAAGCTACACACTCATATAAGAGTGTTGGTACTACTATACTTTCATACATTCCCTTCTCTGCCTCCATAGATATCGTTTTTTGTCTCCACATATATCTCAACGCACCACTCGCCTTTTTTCCCTCATCAACTCTATGATTAACCTCATCCTTCATAAATCCATCCGCTGACACGTCAACTCCCAAGTATCTGAAAACATTCACTTCTTCCATACTCCTCCCCAATTTGATATTCAATTTTTCTTTATGTAAATCATTTGATACCCTCATCACCTTACTCTTTTTTATGTTCACTTTCAACTTTCTACCTTTACACACACTCCCAAACTCATCCACTAACCTTTGCAATTTTTCTTTAGAATCTCCCATAAGCACAGTATCATAAGCAAAAAGTAACTGTGTCAATTCCCATTTTGTATTTAATTCCCCATAATTTAATCCCACCCCTCTCCCGAACACCCTAGCATTTACTTCTTTTACAACCCCATCTATAAATATATTAAACAACCATGGTGACATTACACATCCCTGTCTAAGGCCTACTTTTACCGGGAAGTATTCTCCCTCTCTTCTACACACCCTAACCTGAGCTTCACTATCCTCATAAAAACTCATTTATAGCATTTAGTAACTTACCACCTATTCCATATACTTGCAACATCTGCCACATTGTTCCCCTATCCACTCTATCATATGCCTCTTCTAAATCCATAAATGCAATAAAAACTTCCCTTCTTTCTTCTTTCAATGTACCAGCCATATCCCACTGAGGTGGGGTGGCCCAAAAGAAAAAACTAAAGTTTCTCCTTATAAATTTAGTAATGTATACAGGAGGAGTTACTAGCCCCTTGCTCCCAGCATTTTAGTCACCTCTTACGACACACATGGCTTACAGAGGAAGAATTCTGTTCCACTTCCCCATGGAGATAAGAGGAAATAAACAAGAATTAGAAAGAAAATAGAAGAAAACCCAGAGGGGTGTGTATATATATGCTTGTACATGTATGTGTAGTGTGACCTAAGTGTAAGTAGAAGTAGCAAGACATACCTGTAATTTTGCATATTTATAAGACCGACAAAAGACACCAGCAATCCTACCATCATGTAAAACAATTACAGGCTTTCGTTTTACACTCACTTGGCAGGACGGTAGCACCTCCCTGGGAGGTTGCTGTCTACCAACCTACTACCTACAAAAAACTTCCCTACCTTCCTCTAAATACTGTTCACATATATGCTTCAATGTAAACACTTGATCTACAGATCCCCTACCCACTCTGAAACCTCCTTGCTCATCCGCAATCCTACATTCTGTCTTACCTCTAATTCTTTCAATTATAACCCTACCATACACTTTTCCTGGTATACTCAGTAAACTTATTCCTCTATAATTTTTACAATCTCTTTTGTCCCCTTTCCCTTTATATAAAAGGACTATACATGCTCTCTGCCAATCCCTAGGTACCTTCCCCTCTTTCATACATTTTATTTATTATTATTAACACGCTGGCTGATTCCCACCAAGGCAGGGTGGCCCGAAAAAAGAAAAACTTTCTCCATCATTCACTCCATCACTGTCTTGCCAGAAGGGTGCTTTACACTACAGTTTTTAAACTGCAACATTAACACCCCTCCTTCAGAGTGCAGGCACTGTACTTCCCATCTCTAGGACTCAAGTCCGGCCTGCCGGTTTCCCTGAATCCCTTCATAAATGTTACTTTGCTCACACTCCAACAGCACGTCAAGTATTAAAAACCATTTGTCTCTATTCACTCCTATCAAACACGCTCACGCATGCCTGCTGGAAGTCCAAGCCCCTCGCACACAAAACCTCCTTTACCCTCTCCCTCCAACCTTTCCTAGGCTGACCCCTACCCCGCCTTCCTTCCACTACAGACTGATACGCTCTTGAAGTCATTCTGTTTCGCTCCAATCTCTCTACATGTCAGAACCACCTCAACAACCCTTCCTCAGCCCTCTGGACAACAGTTTTGGTAATCCCGCACCTCCTCCTAACTTCCAAACTACGAATTCTTTGCATTGTATACACACCACACATTGCCCTCAGACATGACATCTCCACTGCCTCCAGCCTTCTCCTCACTGCAACATTCATCACCCATGCTTCATACCCATATAAGAGCGTTGGTAAAACTATACTCTCATACATTCCCCTCTTTGCCTCCAAGGACAAAGTTCTTTGTCTCCACAGACTCCTAAGTGCACCACTCACCCTTTTCCCCTCATCAATTCTATGATTCACCTCATCTTTCATAGACCCATCCGCTGACACGTCTACTCCCAAGTATCTGAATACATTCACCTCCTCCATACTCTCCCTCCAATTTGATATCCAATCTTTCATCACCTAATCTTTTTGTTATCCTCATAACCTTACTCTTTCCTGTATTCACTTTTAATTTTCTTCTTTTGCATACCCTAACAAATTCATCCACCAGCCTCTGCAACTTCTCTTCAGAATCTCCCAAGAGGGCAGTGTCATCAGCAAAGAGCAACTGTGACAACTCCCACTTTGTGTGATTCTTTATCTTTTAACGCCATGCCTTATGCCAAGACCCTCGCATTTACTTCTCTTACAACCCCATCTATAAATATATTAAACAACCACCGTGACATCTCACATCCTTGTCTAAGGCCTACTTTTACTGGGAAATAATCTCCCTCTTTCCTACATACTCTAACTTGAGCCTCACTATCCTCGTAAAAACTCTTCACTGCTTTCAGTAACGTACCTCCTACACCATACACCTGTAACATCTGCCACATTGCCCCCCTATGCACCCTGTCATACGCCTTTTCCAAATCCACAAATGCCATAAAAACCTCTTTAGCCTTATCTAAATACTGTTCACTTACATGTTTCACTGTAAACACCTGGTCCACACACCCCCTACCTTTCCTAAAGCCTCCTTGTTCATCTGCTATCCTATTCTTCGTCTTACTCGTAATTCTTTCAGTAATAACTCTACCATACACTTTACCAGGTATACTCAACAGACTTATTCCCCTATAATTTTTGCACTCTCTTTTGTCCCCTTTGCCTTTATACAAAGGAACTATGCATGCTCTCTGCCAATCCCTAGGTACCTTACCCTCTTCCATACATTTATTAAATAATTGCACCAACCACTCCAACACTATATCCTCCCCTGCTTTTAACATTTTTGTCATGATCCCGTCAGTTCCAGCTGCTTTACCCCCTTTCATTCTACGTAATGCCTCACGCACCTCCCCCACACTCACATCCTGCTCTTCTTCACTCCTAAAAGATGGTATGCCTCCGTGGCCAGTGCATGAAATTACCGCTTCCTTTTCTTCGTCGACATTTAAAAGTTCCTCAAAATATTCTCGCCATCTACCCAAATCTCCATCTCCCCATCTACTAACTCCCCTACTCTGTTTTTAACTGACAAATCCATTCGTTCCCTAGGCTTTCCTAAGTTGCTTAACTCACTCCAAAATTTTTTCTTATTTTCATTAAAATTTCTTGACAGTGTTTCTCCCACTCTATCATCTGCTCTCCTTTTGCACTCTCTCACCACTTTCTTCACCTTTTTTACTCTCCATATACTCTACTCTTCTTATAACACTTCTGCTTTGTAAAAACCTCTCATAAGCTAGCTTTTTCTCTTTTATCACACCCTTTACTTTTTCATTCCACGAATTACTCCTCTTTCCTCTTGCACCTACCCTTCTGTAACCACAAACTTCTGCCCCACATTCTAATACTGCATTTTTAAAACTATTCCAACCCTCTTCAACCCATCCCCCCCCCCACTACACATACTTGCACCAGCCCACTTTTCTGCCAATAGTTGCTTATATCTCACCTGAACTTCCTCCTCCCTTAGTTTATACACTTTCACCTCCCTCTTGCTTGTTGTTGCCATTTTCCTCTTTTTCCCATCTACCTCTTACTCTTAACTGTAGCTGCAACTAAATAATGATCCGATATATCAGTTGCCCCTCTATAAACGTGTACATCCTAGAGCCTACCCATCTACCTTTTATCCACCAATACATAATCTAACAAACTACTTGTACATGTATGTGTAGTGTGACCTAAGTGTAAATAGAAGTAGGAAGACATACCTGTAATCTTGCATATTTATGAGACAGACAAAAGACACCAGCAATCCTGCCATTATGTAAAACAATTACAGGCTTTCATTTCACACTCACTTGGCAGGACAGTAGTACCCCCCTGGGTGGTTGCTGTCTACCATCCTACTACATGGCTGTCATTAAGTTTCCCAGTGAATAATTAATGATTTTATTAACAGTCTCTCCAAATCTCCCTCTCTCCTACATATGTAGGAGAGAGGGAGATTATTTCCAGTAAAAGTAGGCCTTAGACAAGAATGTGTGATGTCACCATGGATGTTCAATTTATTTATAGATGGAGTAGTAAGAGAAGTGAATGCTCAGTTGTTGGCAAGAGGTATGGGGTTAAAAGATAAAGAATAACACAAAGTGGGAGTTGTCACAGTTGCTCTTTGCTGATGACACTGTGCTTTTGGGAGATTCTGAAAAGAAGTTGCAGAGGTTGGTGGATGAGTTTCGTAGGGTATGTAAAAGAAGAAAATTAAAAGTGAATATAGGAAAGAGTAAGGTGATGAGGATAACAAAAATATTAGGCAACGAAAGATTAGATATCAAATTGGAGGCAGAGAGTATGGAGGAGATGAATGTATTTAGATATTTAAGAGTGGACATGTCAGATGAGGTGAATCATAGAATTGACGAGGGGGTTATTAGGGGCCTGGGGAGGGTATACGGGTCCAGGAGAGGTTATTAGGGGCCTGGGGAGGTTATACGGGGCCTGGGGAGGTAAAAGGTGAGCGAGGAGTCTGTGGAGACAAAGAACTTTGTCCATGGAAGCATTCCCACTGTCTTGCATTGCATCCAAGACTATCATAATGGTCCAGTAGTTGCGAGTAGTTGTCTTCCAGTGAACTTGTTTTGAACTCAATATGTACTTTTCTCTTAAGGTGTAGTGATGTATATGGGATGTGCATACAAAATTGAGGGCCAGAGTCGCCTTTCTCTTTGTCTCTTTTCCTCTTTTTCTTCATGAGAGTTTTACAAGATTAGGTTAAGGGTTCCTACCTTTATTTACAGGATACGAGCTGTTACCTACATTAGCTCATTTTACAGCCTTCTTATTGCTAAGAGACATACAAATAGGGAACAGTTACTCTCTCACCTAGTTCAAAACTCCCAACATATTCAGTATCTCCCAAAATCTCTCAACTCGGCACTCGTCTCTCCTCCAGGTACATAAAGACTTATGAGACAGAAAGAAAAAGACACCAGCAATCCTACCATAGTGTAAAACAACTACAGGATTCCATTTCACACTCATTTGGCAGGAAGTTAGTAACTCCCTGGGTGGTTGCTGTCTACCAGCCTACTGAATAGCATTCTTTCTTTCTTTCTTTCAACACACCGGCTGTGTCCCACCTAGGCGGGGTGGCCCAAAAGGAGAAAAGAAAGTAGCATTCTTCTTGTATAATTTTATTTCATAACTATTCATAATTATTTATGCTTGTCATCAACATTAATACATAGCACCATGTTGAACAATAATCAGAATGTTGTTGCTACACTGTTTTAAAGTCTTAGTGCCAACCTTAAACTGTTGAGAAAAGTTTTGATAATTTTGTGTTGATTTCAGCCGATGGTTTGAGGAGAATGCCCATCACTCCACTATTAAAGTTCTCATCCGATTACTACGAGATCTTCGTGGTCGTTTTGAAGGCTTTGAACCTCTGTCACCGTGGATGCTTGATCTTCTGGTAAGTATTGTGTTAAGCACTTCTTGAGGCAGAGCTGCTACTAGTTCTTAACTCACCAACCAAGGCAGGGTGACCCAAAATAAACATTGATCAGCATTTAGTTAATTGCTGTATTTTGTAGAAGTGTGCTGACATTACAATCAGATTACCCCTCTGCAACATCCCCAGTCCTGAGTGCAGACACTGGACTCATGTCCAGCTATTTGGTTTTCCAGAATCCTTTCATAAACATTACCCTGCTCACACTCCAACAGCATGTTCATTAAAAAACCACTTGCCTCTAGTCACTCCTATCTAACATGCTTACACAAGCCTGCTGGATGCTCAAGCCCCTAAAACTCAATAGCCTTTTGTAACCCCTCCCTCACTCCAACCATTCCTGGAATGACCCCCTACCCCTCCTACCTTCCATTTCAGATTTATACACCCTCTAGGTCAACCTATCCCTGTCCATATGCTCTACATGCACAAACCACCTCAGCAGCACCTTCACATATCTCTGAATTATACTCTTGGTCACCCCACATTGTTTTAATGTCTATGCTTTTAATCCTCTGCATGATATTCACACCACACATTGCACTAAAACATGACATCTCTATTTCCTTCAGCCTCTGTTTCACTGCAGCATTTAAAGTTCATACCTCATTCCCATATACACGTGTTGGCACCACTATATAGTTGTGTGTCACTTAAGATGGGGATACTTTCTGAGAAATGCATCGTTAGGCGATTTTGCTGTTGTGTGAATGTTATAGAGTGTACTTACACAAACCTAGATAGTATAGCCTACTACACACCAAGGCTATATGATATAACCTATTGCTCCTAGACTACAGACATTAGGAGCCATGATGAATAAAACACAAGATTAAATCAAGCATAAGGGAAAAGGATGTTATCAAGAGGTGCAGTAAACACGAGATGTATGAGGCTGCTGGTGGCTTAATACCCCATACTGTTTTACAGTAAACTTTGTTATAATGTTAGTAGAATTGCCAACAGTATGTTAGGCAAAAGGACACAAGTACAACTAATGTGACAATTTGATACCCAGCAACCCTAAACCTCTCGCATGTATGGACTACCAAAGACCCATAAATGTAATATTCCTCCGAGGCCAATCGCATTAGGTATAGGCACAAATTAGCCAGAGTTCTCGCCAAACATCTTTCTTGCCTTCTGGGGACCATCAGCCCTGCCCATCTAAAGCATTCAGGCGACCTCCTCAACTGCATCAGAGACCTCTCCATCTGAAGCAAGAAACTAAGTAGTTTGGATGTAACTTCCTTCTTCACTAAAGTACCCATCACACAAGCCATTGATATTCTGTGATGTAAAGTCAATCAGGACCTCAATCTTCCTCTACCTCCTGGAGATTTTGTTGACCTGATTGAACTCTGCATTAATTTCAACTGCTTTTCTTTCAATAACAGACTCTACAAACAAACCAATGGTATGGGAATGGTGTCCCCATCAGTGCTGTCTTAGCCAGCTTGCATATGGAACGCCTGATGCTGAACGCTTTGCCAACATCATCCCCACCAGTGTCACTTGGTTGCATTACGTGGACGACATCCTCATAATAACTCCCAAATGTTTTGATATGCAGAATCTTCAGGGAATGCTCAGTGCAGTTGAACCAGCTAACCAGTTTACACTTGAAAATGAGTCCAGTGAAAAGTTATCCTTTCTAGACATCTTCATTCACAAAGTAGATAAAACACTAAGGTTTCAAGTTTGCAGGAAGCCTACAAACAAAAATGATCTCACACACTTCTGTTCAAGTCACGATACTAAGACCAAAAGAGGCATCACCATTGAATTTTTCATAAGAGCATACCACATTTGCAGTCCAGAGTTCCTGACAAGAGTGTGTACAGGCATACACCAAACCTTCACCGATCTACATTTCCTTTCCTTTTTCATCAAAGACTACAAAAAAAGAACCCTTCATATCATCAGTTCTCCGCACACTAACACCACTCCCAGCAAAGTTATAATCCTTCCCTATAGCCAGGTTGCATTGAATGTCTCAGAAGTACGTACTTGCATAAACTAATACTAGAGTCGCCATCTCAGCCAGTACTTCCATAAAAGATCTGACTAGGATGAAATTGAAAAACATTGACCCAGTCAATGCAGGGGTTTATACTATCCCCCACTGAGGTTGTGATAGAATATACATAGGTGAAATGGCAAGAAACCTTGAAAATGTCTCGATGAACATAATGCATGTAGGAATAATTTGAACAGTGCCTGTGTACAACACTGGAATTCTGCCAACCATCTGATGAAATTCAATGATGCTTGCCTAGTGATAAAAGAACCCAATTTCCAAAGATGTAAATGCCTTAAATCATCAATAATCACTATTTTTAATGCAAACGGAATAAAGGCAGCTTCATCATCTCGAGTATTAGCAAGAATTCTCCTCAAAGCAATAAACCCTGCCATCACTTAGCTGCTGCTGCTGCCATTACTACCCCACCACCACCACTCCACCACCAGCACTACCACCATTACAACACCACCACCACCACCACCAAAGTACAGGTCATCCATCACTAATCTGGCAATCAGTAATCCTGTTCCATCAGTAATGCGCCACTAATTTCAGCTAGTATAATTTCAAATTTGCGGGGTCACCACACCAACCTGGTGTTACTGTTGGGTTGCTCTTCTTGCTGCACAAGTCATTCCAGTCTCTCTTTCTCCATTTATTGTTATAACCTGCTCACTTTTAGCTCTAGCCATGGTTCCAATGAATAAAAGAAATGCTTCTCTTTGTGTAACGCACATACACTACATTGTGTCCATAAAAGATACAGTGGCTTTGAAGCCACTGTCGGTCACCATGAGCTCAGCTTACTCAGATATAAGCTGTGACTGGTAAATTTGGGCCTACATAAGAGAGAATAGGTCTGTGTGGTAAGTGTGCACTATATAAAAAAGTCCTGCAGTATGCAGTGCAAAATGAGAAAAGCCTGCGACAATGTTTTTGGTGTAAAACAGTGACTTTGTGGTGTGTTTTCATATGGTTTTTATGGTTGTATTCTCATTTTTTTAGTCTCATTTGATAGAATGGAAGATATATTGCAGAAATAGATATGATTTTAATTGGTTTCACGACGAAAAGTACCTTGAAATTGAGCTCAAAGTAGTGGAAATGTTCGATTTTTGCCAGTGTTCAATAGTAAACAAATAACGTCACCATCTAGTATGTGTCCAACTGGCTTGTCTAATACACAGTCATGAATGGGTTGACATTATTTATACAATTATTACAATAATGCAGTAGTCTGCATATCAGTAAATTTTCTAATTTTTGTGTGAATAAATATTCAAAATAGAAAGCAAGCGTAATATAAGAGGGGCCTGGAGACATGAATAATGAATAGAGAAAATATTATTTTAGTGCTGGGAATGTCTGAATTGTTTATTCTGGACCCTGTTTTGAAATTGGCATCTCTTGAAATTTGCATGAAATTGGCCAAATTACCAATTTCTGACCACTTTGTTCGGTTGTTGAAATGGGTAAATGGGCGATTTCTTGTACTCAGTCGACAGAATATAAGGAATACTAGCAAAATAGCTATGAGTTTGGTAGACTGGAACAATGGAATGGGCCAAAAATATGGCGTAAAGTGGGTGAAATCTCGGATGGGTTAAATTGTATTTAACCTGTCGACTCTGTAATCCTGCAAAATCGCTAATCTGGCATCTTACAGGTCCTGATGATGCCAGATTAGTGATGGTCAACCTGTACTACTACTACTACTACTACTACTACCACCACCATTACCACAAGTATTGCTACTACTACCTAAAATGATTATACAGTGGAACCTCTACTTGCCAGCGTGTCCACGTGCGAGTTTTTCCAAATACGAGCAGTCGATGGGTCAATTTTTTGCTTCCATACGCGAGCAAAATTTCCACAAGCGAGCAGACCTCAAGGCAGGTTCCTTGACGCTGGTGAGGGGCTCTTGCTCTTGATCTAGGGAATTGTATCTCATTTGTTTGTTGGACTATCTTATTGAAACTTGGGCAATGTGTGATGGAAAGATGCTTCTTAACCTACACCAAAAATGGAAGCAATCTAAGCATAAATAATGGAGTTCACTTCTCAGCAATTAGCCACCCCTTAGTGGTAATTTCGAATGGTTTTTATGGTTGTATTCTCGTTTTTTTGGTCTCATTTGATAGAATGGAAGATATATTACAGAAATAGATATGATTTTGATTGCTTTCACGACGAAAAGTACCTTGAAATAGAGCTCAATCTAGGAGAAATGGTCCATTGCTTGCCTGTTTCAGAGTAAACAAATGACGTCACTGTCCATTCCAATATGCAGTCGTGAATGGGTTGACATTATTTATACAATTATTGCAATAAGGAATAACAGTAAATCTTATATTTTTTGTCTGAATAAAAATTACAAATAATTTATATAATAATAATAATAATAATGATAATAATAAATATGCAAGATTACAGGCATGTCTTGCTACTTCTACTTACACTTAGGTCACACTACACATACATGTACATGTTTATTTATACACACTCATCTGAGTTTTCTTTGATTTTATCTTAATAGTTCTTGGTCTTATTACTTTTCCTTTTATATCCATGGGGAAGTGGAATAAGAATCTTTCCTCCATAAGCCATGCGTGTTGTAAAAGTCAACTAAAATGCCGGGAACAATGGGCTAGTAACCCCTTTTCCTGTAAAGATTACTAAAAAGAATAAGAAGAAGAAAATTGTCAAAGTGGGAAGTCTGAATGTGCGTGGATGTTGTGCAAATGATAAGAAAGAGATGATTGTGGATGTTATGAATGAGAAGAAACTGGATGTCCTGGCTTTAAGTGAAACAAAGCTGAAGGGGGTGGGAGAGTTTCAATGGAGAGGAATAAATGGGATTAGGTCAGGGGTTTCAAATAGAGTTAGAGCTAAAGAAGGAGTAGCAATAATGTTGAAGGATAAGCTATGGCAG